TGATACAGATAATGCACAATACAGCTGTCAAACACTTTTAGGAGCATAAGAAAGCTCGGAACAACAAAAGGCCATTCGGCCCATCAAACCGTTCTTTCCATAGATCATTCAAAGCCTACCTTTTCCCGGTGAGAGGGTAACATAAATATCCCTCAGTTTGAGAATTTTTCACAATTCTGCTTGATTTCAACATTTTACGATGATGGTCTTGAGGCTGAGACTGCGAGAAATTTTGAGCTTCCGACCCACTGCAGGTGCTTTCACCAACAATGTCACACAAACATTGTTCAAACAATGGGCATGTCACACAAATATTTCTGTCGCTTCCAGTGGTGATCAGATCTCGTGCTTGTGCCGAGCACTGAAAACCACAGAAGTATGACTGAAGATGAAAGACCTTCTTTTCCAGTTTGTCTCGACCTTGTTGCTCCGCTTTGCTGCTCAGACCTTTGCAGACCAAAGTGTTGATTCTCCTGCAAACAGGGTGCACTGCAGCTGTTGAAACCTTTTGTTTTACAAGAGTTAGATTCTCAGACCCATTGCGAGGCACACCCAAGGCACCAAACATATCCTTCTCTTTTGTTCGCTCTGTATCCCTGTCTCTGGATCTCTTCTCAAATCCCTTTGACTTGTCCCTCTCCAATCCCTGTCTTCAAAACCCTGTTTAAAAAAAACTAACTTCAACCGTTGCTTCAGTCTACATCAGGAAGGTCCAACCTTTTGGCTGCTGAGGGCTGGATGCTAAATTTGAGAAACGTCCGCGGGTCACATAAGCAATATTTAACCTGATTGTCCAGTCTTGTTACCAGGCAGAGCCTGAGCCCCCGATGACCGTCTCCTGACTGGCTCGGGGCCTGTGTTTTGCTTGCATTTGCCTGTCAGACTTGAAGTTAGAAATGGATTTAAGGCTGGATGAAATAATTGGTGATTTGAGAACATTATTTTCTGGGAAAATATTCTATGTATTATATAAGTGCAAGTTGTTTATAATGATAACAATAATATTCCTTGCGTTTGATGTAGCGCCTTCTCACAGGATATACTGTAATTTAAATAGCATTTTGTGGGTGAATGCGGAAACCAATTATTAAATATTTGCTAATATTTGTGCTGTTTTTTACTGTGCCTATGGTCAACTCCCACTCCCCTTTCTCCCTTGTTCTGTGTTCCACAAACAGCCATGAAGTGAATGGCCAATTTTATTTGAGGGATTGTTGGCCAGGACACTGGGAGAAATTCCATTTTTCTTTTTGAATAGCGCCATGGAATCTTTAACGTCTGCTTTATCAGGCAGACAAAGCCTCGGTTTAACATTACATCAAATGGCCAGCACCAACAATGCAACATACCTACAACACTGCATTGGAGTGTACTAGACTATATGACTATCTGTACTAGACTATATGACTATCTGTACTAGACTATATGACTATCTGCACTAGACTATATGACTATCTGTACTAGACTATATGACTATCTGTACTAGACTATATGAATATCTTGTTGGGATTTCCGATCCTGTAGTTCGACATATGACTCGACAATCCAAATATGGTGTAGCAAGGTTTATTATGAACAGAGTGCACGCAACATGCATTAACAAGTTACTACAAATGTCTAACAAATTATACGAGCAGTCTTTGAAGACAGTCACACAACGTCATGGAACACCTTCCTTGTGATTCTTAAAGGGACCTCTCCACACTGGTCACTCTATCTCTCTCTGGAGCTTTCCTGTCTACTGACTGTTCTCACCTAGAGTGCCATAGTTATACCCTTTCTCCAAGTGACCTTCCTAGGGCCCCTCTACCCACTTCTGATACAGTCACGTACTGAGGTTAATCAACCATCTGCTTGGTGCGAGCCTGACTGAGTCTCCACGAGGTCTTCCCTTTGTCCTGTCTAGGATAGGAGATGGATCGGTTTAGGGCTGTATCTGGTGTTTGTTATTTTGTTATGTGGGATCATTAGTACATTCCTTTTAAGTGACTGGTTATTTCTTATCATTGTCCCGGGATGATACCGAAGGTTTCTAGTTTAAACAACTTTCTCATTAGTTGCTATTCTTGAGGGTTGCCTTCAGTCGCTTGGCAGCCCTGTCAGAATCTAATGACTTATTGCTAAGTCGAGATCCTGTGTCGACCGGTACCTTGGACCATTACCTTGTGGGCTTGTTGTTATTTACCGATAAGAGGAGCCCCTGCCCTTTTCCAAAGCTGTCTTGTTATTCTTTCAGAAACAGAGAAAAACAGATGTGTCCTATCCCATGACTGTCAGTACTTTCTCCATTCTACATTTGTTTAATGTTTCATTATTATTAGACTACAACTTCTATAATCTAACAATCTGTACTAGACTATATGAATATCTGTACTGGACTATATGAATTCAAAGTTCTGATGTTGGACTAGAACGCATAATCTTCTAATTCAGAGATGAGAGTGGGGAGAATGCTACCAACTGAGCAAGACTGACAATTACAAAGAATGTACAAAACAGAATCAGGCCACTTGGCCCAACCAGTCCATACTGGTGTTTGTACTTCACGAGTCTTCACCCATTCCTTTAGTCTTCCCATATCCTTCTATTCCCTTGCCCTCCACGAAGGTCCAGCTTCCTCTTGAATGCATCACACTATTTGATTCAACCACTGCTTCAGACAGCAAATTATAATAATACAATAATAATCCTTGTATTTGATATAGCGCTTTTCACATCTTCTCGATGTCTCAAAGCGCTTCACAGAATAGATTCTAAAGTGAATTGACCATATATTTGTGGGTGAAACGCGGCATCCAATTGCACACAGCAGTGTTCCACAAACAGTCGTGGATTGAAATGACCAATTTATTATTGTTTTTGTTTTTGGAGGGATTATTATTAGGCGTTCTCACTAGCCCTCTTCATGGATGTGGGAGCTTGACAACTATGTTTGACAGCAATTTTTTTGGAAGGAGATCAGCCAGGTTTCTGAGACATGCGGAAATCTATCATCATGCTTAAGGGTTGCCAAACCAAACTGAGAATTCCATGCTTCCCAAGTACACATGGAAATTCCAGAGATAAATTGTTAGAATGGAATGCGCACTCTCCATCGAGGGAAGCATCCTGCTTACCTAATTCGGGAAAGTATTAGGCACAGGTTGGCAAGAGCCAAGGCTCAGGGACCCCAGAATGCTAAAAATAACAATACAGGACTCTTTCAAGGCCCTGAAATTGAAATGAGTACATTCAAATCCTTTAGTGAAGATCCATTCGAGGGCAAGGCTGGTGTTTGACAGCCATTATCTGTGAAGCACTTTCCGACATTGACACTTTAGGCATTATATAAAATGCAAGAATTATTTGGGTAGCTGACTTCAGGGTGTCTTCTATTTGCCTCTAAATGATGCTGTAATTCTGAAAATTTACAAACAGTAATTTAATTGTCTTCAAGTACTACTCTGAAAAAAAGGCATTTAAAAATAATTGGGGTAACTGCAATATGTTCAAAATTAGCAAAAATACATGTTTCAGCCCTATTTCAGTGAGTGAGCCTGATTGAGACTAAGGAGTAAAATTTGTAATAGTTTCTTAACAAATTTGTTATGCTTTTATCTCAAGGAATAGATTGGAAAGACTACCATGGATTTTACACTCCAATCTCTAACTATACTAATCTCCTCCTAACATTCTAATGTACAATGATGATCTGTTGAGCTCAATTCTCTGTGTTTGCTCCTCTAAGAATAAATAATAATAATAATAATAATAATAATCCCTGCATTTGACACCTATCATGTCCAACCATCTCAAAGCGTTAACAGGTTTTTTTTGGTAAGACAGCTGAAACATGTGAAAACCCATCACCATGCTTAAGAGTATCCAAACCAAACAGAATTCCATGCATCCTACCAACACATGGAAATTTATTGGAATGGAATGCGGACTCTCTCCCTTGAGGGATGCATTGTGCTTACCAAATACCAGAAAGTATTAGGCGAGGTTGGCAAGAATCAAGGCTTGGGAACCCCTAACAATAATGTATTGTGATGGTGTATTTAGTGAGTGAAATGTGGCAGCCAGTTTGTGCACACCAATATCCCACAAACAGCCACAGAATGAACGACCAATTTTATTTGGGGATTGTTGGCCAGGACAGCAGGAGATACTCCCTTCTCTGTTTCAAGTAGTGCCATGGGAACTTTAATGTCCAGCTGAACAAGCAGAGATCACGATTTAACATCTCATCTGAAGGACGACACCTGGGACAATGTAGAGCAACATTGGAGGGTCAGCATCAACTCAAAGTACCTGAAAGACAGGGGATTTAAGACATCTATTCTCTATAGATTCAATCCAGTTTGATCAGTTAGCATTTCCTTGCTTAAACAGTTCACGCACCATAGATGCAGACAGGTTTCAGATTCTGGGTGAGGTACAGGATCAGGTGCAAAATGAGGACTGAAGGTTATACTAAGTTTTTGTGGTTTGCATACGCCAGTACAGAAAGACTCGAACCATGGTTTAGCTGGTTGCTGCACAATTTAATATCACAGTAACATCAATCCGCACGCAAATTTTTATAATTTAGTTTAGCAAGAAAATCGACGCACTCAGAAATATATAAGGAGTCCTGCTAAATATCGAACAACATTGGGGAATTTATTTTTTTTAAAAAAGAAAGCAACTTTTCCGATGAAGGAAAGCAGGCACTGGCTTTGTTGGATAATAGAGTAAAATTACTGAAATTATTTTAAATGAAATCGGGGCAGAAACCCTCACTTATTACTCTAAAACCCCGAGAGTCGAAAAAATTATATTGGAGTAAGATTTCCCCCCATCTTATCCCTCCCCCCCTCATACAACGACGACAACAAATTACATTTATATGGTGCCTTTCATGTTTGGAATCAGGAGGGGCGGAGGGAGGGTAGGGGTAGGAGGGTGACCGAAGGCGCGGTCGAAGAAGAGGGTCTTGAGATGGGCCTTGAAGGAGACAAGGGAATGGGGGAGGTGCAGGGACTGTGGGATGGAATTCCAAACCGTGAGGGCAGAGAGGCTGAAGGTGATGGTCGTGGATAGTGGTCAAAAACAAGGAAAAGGAATTGAAATGATAGTTCAAGCCTGCGTTTTATCGCCAAGCGCGCAAAATGCTGAGCTCCACCTTCGGATCATGGATCAATTTCATTGTTTTTTGAAAATCGATAGTTTCATTTCCATCTGACTCACTGTCCTGGTAGATAGGTGCCCCAGCAAAGCTCCATTTTAGTCTTCAAAATGTGCTCGTGTTAACAATTAGCCAGACGTTGCTTAGATCAAAGTGATTGTTGAAATGTGCTTTTTTTGTCTTGTTTTTGTACAACGATTGTTTTTTGGAAATCTGTAAAAGGCAAAGATATCAATAGTTGATTAGTCTAGAATGATGTCTTGTTTTTTTGGGGGGGTGGGGGGTGGGGGAGGTAGGCATAATGTGGGGAAGGAAGGGGAAAAAATAGCAATAATAATAATAATCTTTGCATTTGCTCTAGCAACTTATTACGTCTTTGAGACATCCCAAAGAGCTTCACAGGATATACTGTAAAGTGAATTGACTGTATATTTCTGCATGCGAAACACGGCAGCCAATTGCACACAGCAGTGTCCCACAAACAGTCATGGATTGGATTGAGTGACTACATTGTTATTGTTATCCTACACCTGTTTGTTAGATGGAAGTTTGCTCAAAGTTGGCACACAGTTGGCATTCCAATGTGTTACAGGGGAGGGATGTCGGTGGGTGTGGGAGGGGTTGGGAGAGACCTATAAAGGAGAAAAGTCAAAAGTTGAACACATTTGACCATGCAAATATAACAAATATGGTTTTGACTGAAAATAAAAAAAGAGTTCAGAGTGTGTCACACCGGGCCATTACATCTCTTCAGAGTTCACAGCTACAGTGAAGCACATCTACAGTGATACTGCAAGATCTAAAATGCCACGATCAGTAAACAATTCAAATCCCAGGCGCCTGGGTTTGTCTCACTGTGACCTGTTGGGACTCCAAGCTCTCACCAAGTCCCTCTATTTTCCATAATCTGACTTCAATTTGACTTCAAGTCAAAACTGAGACCAACGTCAGACAAATCCATTCACAGTAAACTACTGATAACTTGACCCATGGTTTAACTTGTCACAAATCACTTAAGTAATCCTGATGTCAATTTCTCGGCTGCATTTATTTATGTATTTATACATATGCCTGACTCACCGCTCTGGATAACTGGTCATAGAGCCCTTTTCCTGGGAGCAATGAGTTATCAGGAGTTGACTGTAGCTCCCTAGACATTAAGCTCAATAGTCACTTAACACCAGTTTATTGCATTTGAGAAAAATAAAGCGTAAAATAGGTTATGCCCTTAAATATAACCTTTACCTGGTTGAGGAAAACTTTTTTGTTTAACAGCTAAATATCCAAACTCCCATTTTAACATTATAAAAGCATCCTGATTAAGCAGCAAAGTTAAATGTGGTTGAGAGATAATAAACCACAGTAATGCTTGCATTCTTAAAAGTGCTTCACAGGATACATCGTAAAGTGTATTGCTTGTATATTTTGTGGGCAAACACGGCAACCAATTTGCACACAGCAATGTCCCATAAAGAGCCATGAAGCGAATGACCAATTTCATCTCATAGGTGCAATAATAATAATAATCCTTACATTTGATATAGAACCTTGTCACGTTGTTGAGATGTCTTAAAAGTGCTTCACAGGATATACTGTAAAGTAGATTGACGGTATATTTTGTGGGAGAATGGAGGCCACCTTTGCTCAACAGGTGTAAAAATAAAAACAATGTAACTTGAGGTTTTATTCCTATGACTTTCAGCCACATTGCAGAAACATTGCTGTTCAGAACCACAGCAGAGTCAATTTGCAGAAGGAGAACAAAATGGCAGTGCAGACTGTGCAATGGGGGTTTGTTTGCAGTGTGGGGGATGGTTGCTAGTTTAATAGCTACTGAATTTACACCTGGGGCATTTACTAAATCCACACCTTGGTGCAGGATGCTTTGAAATGAAATAAAAAGCAAACAGAAGGCATAGAAAAATGCAATAAGTGATACTTAGCCTATACTCCATATATTACATCAGTCTGGCTCAGTTGGTAGCTTCCAATGAAGCATCCTTGGTGTGTTGTTCTTGCCATAAGAATGATGCATCATGAGTATATATATATATTATTGCTGACCTTTGCCAGTATGAAACATGTATTTGTAATCAATTTAACATTGTACACCATTAGATTCAGTTAGGTTGATTATTATACTGTATTGGTTAGGTATTTTGCTTACTTTAACGTTACTTCTGCTGAGAACTTTTGTAATCTTGATACGAATGAATCATGTCTGTGATTCCTTTATTTAATGTCTTTGTGTATTATCTAGAAAAGAGACTTTGGCATGCAGATATGGGAGTGTGAGGTGGAGTAATCTGAAACTCTGAGAAACAGACTGAAATAGCAGGGAAGATAATCAATGTGAGTTGTTTGAAGTCTTGGTTCTCTTAAGCAAAGTATAGCATGGTTTAATGGTCACGGACAGCATTTGACATGTTTGTTTAGGGGTAAAAGTATTGGTCACTAACTAGCCTGAAGTTGAAACAGACTCTAGAGGGAAGAAAATAATCATACCCTATTATCCATTCCTTGGAACATCCTCCCAATGTGAAAGGTGCTCTACAAATGTCCTTTGTTGTTGTTATTCCCAGATTGTTAAATATGCCTTTCTGTACATGCAGGTCACTGTATAAAGGTTTCTTTAATAAAACAGATTATTGAAGGAGCACATGTCTCTGTGAGTTTGATTATCTTGGTATCCGGAATCTAAATGATTATATATCGATAGTTTTATTTAAAGTAAATATAATACAGAACTGACCCATTGCAGCCAAAAAAGTTAGAAGATTGTAGGTTCAAGCTCCCCATTCAGGAATTTGATCTTGTAGTCCAGCTACACACTCCAATGCAGTCAAGTCTTATTGTAAAGCAGTCATACAGTTTTATTGTGTGTACACTAATCAACAACTTACATTTATATAGCAGCTCTCACACAGGGTAGCATCCCAGAGTGGTTGACAATGGTGGTACCTGAGGCCAAGCCGGGGGAGGTGGGGAGGTGACCGGAGAGGAAGGTCTTCAGGTGCGATCTGAAAATGGGGAAGGAAGGGGCAAGGCGGAGGGATAGAGGAAGAGTTTTAGGGCATAGTGACGTGAATGCACAGCCACTAATGGTGGAACGGAGGGCACAAGGGACATGCAGGAGGCCAGAGCTAGTCGAGTGGAGGTAGGGGATGATTGGTTGGGGAGTAAGCAGGGTGGAGAGTTAGGGAGGTGTCAGGGTATGAAGGAATTTGAAGACGAGTGAGAGGATCTTGAAATTGAATAATCATGATAATCTTCAATCCCTTTCTTAATATATGTTACTGTGCCGCTGTGTTGAGATGTGACGTTATATTGAATAATCATGAAATATATCGTCAGCATGTTACAAATGATTGGCTTCACAATGCTTGTAGAAAAGACCACTAGGTTAATTTCTCAATTGTATTGAAATCATTGTTAATAATAATAATATGTAATAATCCTTGCATTTGATATAGCACTTTTCACGTCTTCTAGACGTCTCAAAGCGTTTCACAGAATAGACTAAAGTGAATTGCCTGTATATTTCCGGACGAAATGCGGCAGCCAATTGTGCACAGCAGTGTCCCACAAACAGTCATGGATTGAAATGACTAATTTATTATTGTTTTTTTTCTTGAGGGATTATTATCAAGCGTGTGGAGTAATGAAACTTGCCCAAGCTTTCACCCTGCCGGGAATCGAACCCAGGTCTCTTGCTTGCAAAGCCAGTGCTCTAACCGCTGAGCTACAGGACTCCACACCTTGTTAATGCAGCTATCAATATAGATAAGGATATATGCTTAAAGTAGACATGGTAGTACAGGGTTAAAAAGATAGGGAATGAGCACGAGTCGGGGCAGCAGCCAGAGGAAAGTCAAGGATAAAGGTCAAATGGTTGTTGCCCAGAGTCATCAGAATGGGTGGTATGCTTTGATTCTGTAAATACTTATATTTGACTAATTGTTCAATAAAACTTTTGTTACACCACTTTGGATTGTCGGGTCATATTTCGACCTCAGGGATCGGAAATCCCAACAGTTGGTGCATTCATTCAGGTTTAATAGGCTGTCCGTCCTTATTGATATTCTGCTTCGTACTGTTTACAACAGCGTAATGCAGTGGGACCTTATCTATTTGTGGGCACCTTAGTTTTGAGGGCAGCTCACTAACCAGTTAAATTCTTCACAGTCTACTTCGTTCATTTCAAATTCACAGTGACCCAAATCCACAAACCTACAATCAAAGGCACCCTAGGGTAAAATAATAATAATTATTGTAATAATAATACCTCAATGTAATTGAGGTACTCACATGTTAGTAATAGTTGTTTGGTAGCCTTCTGTCCTCCTCAGGCATTGGTCTAAAGGAACAAACAGTTGTAATCATGAAAGGTTTTTTTTGGAAAGAAGCAATTGTAACCTATATTTTGTATGACAATGTGTCATATCTATAAATATAATCGACAGAGTGTTACTGAACTGGGTAGCAATGGACTGCAGAGAAAGAACCTTATAAACAGAAACTGAACCTAAAAATAAATGTTCACATGTTTGTTTTACATTTGCAAAATGTAATACATTTTTTCGTCACCTTCCATCTCCAGTGGAAAGTGTACCAATTGTACTATTCAGGAGGTTGCGAACTGTTCTAAATGGGGGCACAAAGTCACTAAATAAACATGACCTGCATTTGATGAAGCACCTTATTACATCAAAACAACTCAAAGTGCGTCACACAAGCAGCTACAGTTGTAGGTGCTGCCACTGTTACGTTGGCAAACATGCCACTCAATCAGCCAACACAAACATCCCAACAAATGTTTTGCCCATGAAATACAGTCAATCCACTTTACAGTATATCCAGTGAAGTGCTTTGAGATGTCTCAACAATGTGATAAGGCACTATATCAAATGCAAGGATTATTATTATAAAACCCAATGAGATATATGACCAAAAGCATCTATTTCTCGGGGAGGAACGGTTGGGGGTGAGGGAGGTAATATTAGCCAGGACACTTGGACATTGCACTCAACTATCTAGAAATAATACCTTTGCATTGCTAAAGTCCACACTGGAACAGAAAAACTAAACAAAATACACAGTCAATCCACTTTACAGAATATTCTGTGAAGTGCTTTGAGGTGTCTCACGACGTGACAAGGTACAATATCAAATGCAAGGATTATTATTTATTATTAAGCAGGGCTCACTTGCTAGTGCATGGAGGATAGCCTAGATTATAAGCTCAAGCCCTGCTCTCCTTAATGTGATCTACCACTACTACTCCTTTAATTTGTTATAATGCTTATCATGTCTTTCAGATGTCTCAAAGCGCTTCACAGAATATACTGTAAAGTGAATTGATTGTATATTTTGTGGGGGAAACACGGCAGCCAATTGCACACAGCAGTATCCCACAAACAGTCATGGATTGAGTGACTTAAATATTATCATATTAATTACAATGACATTAATGCTGTTCTGTGTCCACTCCAGGAGCTAGGCAGATACCTTAAAAAGAGACAGCTACATGGCTGTGGGAAAAGGACATGTAAATGGGACTGAAAGGCTTGATTTTGAGGGAGCGACACAGATGCGATGGGCTGAATGGCTTTTCTTCTCTAACATAATTCGCTATGATTCTAACTCCATCCCAGAGTCTCTCCACATCTTCCCTTGCCCTTTGCCCCTCTCTTCCCACCTTTAAAGATCTTCTGAAGATCTTTTCTTTTCAACCACACTTTCGGTCACTCTCTGCACTGCCCCAAGCCCCAGCATCCCCAAGTCTCAGAATATACGGTAAAGCGTTTTGTGGGTGATTATTGGAATTTCTGCTTATTGCTTATTGCTTATTGCTTATTAACTCTGCTTATTGGAATTTCCAATTTGACAAGCATCTTTGAGAGCATCTCTTGATAAATTCTGGGTTTTCTCTTTATAATTATCACAGGAAACCTTTGGGTAATTTCCTGTGTGAAACAGTATCAAGCAAAGATCACTTGCTGATTTACTGTTGAACACGATGAACATGTGGATCACCAAAGAGATAAGAGATAATAATAATCCTTGCATTTAATACATTAAGTGTGATCAATTAATTCTAAGTTAATTCATAAGTGTCTTATCAAAGAGCTGCACAGAATGCACTGTAAAGTGAATTAACTGTACATTTTTCGGATAAAACACATGCGACCTTCTCCACCTCCGCTATTCCCACCCTCTTAATCCAAAAAACCTCCATAAACCAATTTGGGTCGTCAGTCTAGGTCAATGATGGGCAACCAGTGGCCCCTGGACTGCCAAAAATGTGGCCCCCGAACAATTGCACTAGTCTTGTGCTCAATCATTTCCAGGTTTGTCTTGATTGAATATTTATTGGTTTATGGTAGAAATCAAAAAAAAACACTTCAGGAAATTTATTTTGAGAATTCACCACTGCCATATAAGGTGAAATATAATAGATGGAATATCAATAGATTATGAAAATACAGTAGGTGAAGTATTATAATATTATGGAGATATAACAGGATAAGCAAACACACTGACCTCTTTCGGAACTGGTGTTGGCAGCGTCTCCTACGGGGTCCTGGAGAGAGAAAACACCTCCATGTTAGCCACACACCGACCGCTGCACAATGTAACAAGTTTGCTCTACTAACATTTGTAATAAAAATAAATAGTGTGGAAGATATCAACGCGGGCATCTTACGTTTACAGTAAAGGATGGAAACGGTGACTAGAATCACCAGCAACAGGGAGGAAACGCCTGCGAGCGATGTCCAGATGATCAAGTGGCAGGAAAACCTGTCATCTGCAATCCCTAGTTACAAAAAAAATCAATCAGTAAAATCAACCAACCAATCATTTAACTGATCACATAAACAACCAATCGATCGATATCCATCCATCCATCCATCCATCCATCCATCAGTAAAATCAATCAGTAAAATCAACCAACCAATCATTTAATATTAATCACATGATCAATATCGATAGATCGATTGATCGATAGATAGATCGATCGGTAGAATCAATCAATTAATTGATCAATTAACCAATCAATTAATCAATTTAATCAATACAGAGGAAGAAATTTGCCCCTTGCCATTTCAGCCACACACTCAATGCAATTTCATATCAAATGCCGTTTGAATCTATTCATTGTTGTTAATATTAATAATGTCTAAAATATTTTCGATGTTGAAAATAGTCCAAAAATACTAATTCATGTGGCAGATTAAAATCTACGCCGATTTCAAAAAAAGAACAGCAGGAAATAACTAAACCAGAGAAATCTATTGCAGTAGATTCGCACACGAGTGGTGAGCAGCTCTCTCTCTGCATCGTCCTGCTATCCGCACCAACAACAAGGCAGGAGTGAGCCGCTAAAGTGCATTATACCCGGTGTAGCATTCGTTTAAAAAAGCTTAAATCTTAAAGGTATCAAAGTATATCCCCCAAAAAAGCATTCGCTCTTAAGATCAACTCTTGGGTGATTAAAGGCTAGACTTGGCTAAAGAGAGAGAAACAGACAGACTGAATTCCTTTCCCATTTATATAAATATTTATAAATATTATATATTAGATATATCAAAAAAAATTAGATTATATATCAAAATAAATATTTATAAACATTATATATTATATCAAAATAAATATTATAAACATTATATCTTATATCAAAATAAATATTTACTGTATTATATGTGATAATTGTATATAGTGTATAAAGTACTGTAAATATCAACATTTTATTGCATATTTGATATCCTGGAGAGATCAGAGCTACCTGCTTGTTTGAGACCATTTCTCAACAAAATTCTCATTGTGATTTTATCAGTGTATCGATATTTTGATATAATATATTTTGATATCAATATTTTTGATATTTTGATATTTATTTTGATACAACACATGTTGGCATTTTGATATCAAAGTATATTAGACCAATATAAATATCAATATATATCAAAATTGGTATAAAAAAATCAATGTACCGATCAAAGCACAACCGAAAAATGTCATACAAGCGATGCGATATATACACTGAGTTGGAGACAACTGTGGAAACCTATATATGACATACATTGTATATAGTTATTTACATACATTGCATACGTTTGTATCATATACCCATATATACATTTTATGATATTCCTATACATCACAAAAGTACTTGCTGAAACTCCTTACACGTTTTGCAATTATTATCTTTTTAAAAAAAGTAAAAATATAATTAAAAACAGATGGTTAACACAGAAACGTTTGTTCAATACAGTTAAACATGTTCCAGCCCTGTTAACATTGGTGTTGTTTGTGAACGCACACATACACAGATATACACAGACACGCAGGTACCCACAGACACACACACACACACACACACACAAATAAATACAGATACATGCACATTCACACATAGACACAAATACAATTACAGACACACACATACACACAGACATACATACAAACACATACACACAGACATACATACAAACACATACATGCAGAAACCCACAGATACAGACACACATACACACATAGAGGCGGGTGATGTGCACTAAGTGTAGCTGGAGCCTGTGCGCTGGGTTGCGTTGCTGTAAGGATACCCAGACTGTCAAGTCATTCTCTTACGGATAACGACTGAGAAGAGAATGAGCTTGTGAGTCTATGCTATAACCCCCTGTACCTCTGCTGGGCTGGGTTGTTGATGTCTGTGGAGCCTCAGTTTTCGGCGGGGGCAGTTTGGTGGTTGAAACCTTTGTGGCAATGGTTGTAACCTCTGTGTTGGGATAGAGAAACAGATAGACATATAAACATGTAGAAGTCGCTGTCAGATGGGATTGTTTAACAAAGCGCCAAATCGAGTTAAAACAATAATAAGCCTTGCGTTTGATCAGCTGCCTTTCATGTCTGGAGCACATTTGCAAAGGCTTCACAGGAGTTTTTTTTTAAAAAACGAACCACTATAAAGTTCTGTCATATAATAATAATGATAATAATTTGGTCACTCAATCCACGACTGTTTGTGGAGAAACTGCTGTGCGCAATTGGCTGCCGCGTTTTCACCCATAAAATACAGTCAATTCACTTTACAGTATATTCTGTGAAGAGCTTTGAGATGTCTCAAAGTCGTGATAAGGCGCTATATCAAATGCAAGGATTATTGTTATTATTGTCATAAAGACTCCAATATTGTAGAGATCACCAAAGAGTCAATTTGCTGCCAAACAAAGTCCCACAAACAACCATGAAGATAAAGTAGATTGAAGTGGAGATCTAACCACATTCTCTACACAATATATCATATAATATAGTATTTTAAACAAAATTCATCACTCACTCCAAGGGATATTATTGTGTGCAAACTGAAATTGTCTGCCCCTTTTCACCCACAAAATACACAGTCACTCCACTTTACAGTCTATCCTGCGAAGTGCTTTGAGACATCTTGACAATGTGATAAGACGTGATATCAAATGCAAGGATTACTATTATTAAGGAGTCCTGTAGCTCAGGGGTTAGAGCACTCGACTCACAAGCGAGAGACCTGGGTCTGATTCCCCGCAGGTCAAAACCTTGGACAAGTTTCCTCACTCCACTCGCCTGATAATAATCCCTCAAGAAAAAAAATAATAAAATGCACGACTGTTTGTGGGACACTGCTGTGCACATTTGGCTGTCACGTTTTGCCCACAAGTATATAGTCAATTCACTTTACAGTATAGTCTGTGAAGCGCTTTGAGAAGTCTAGAAGATGTGAAAAGCGCTATATCAAATGCAAGGATTATTATATTATTATATTACTATAACAACAACAACTCAGATTTATATAGCGCCCTCCACGCTGGACGGTGTCTCAGAGCACTTTACAGTAACGGATCCCGTTAATATATGATATAGGATATAATATATGCTGTATCACATGTCATAATATGCAAAGCATATATTATGAAATACGGTATACAGTATTTAATAAAATATTAATCAAATATATAATATATTATATATAATAATAATCCTTGCATTTGATATAGTGCCTTATCATTTCGTTGAGACGATTTTGCCCACAACATTTTGAGACCCCTCAAAAATATGATAAGGCGCTATATCAAATGCAAGGATTATTATTATATATTATATGTTATAGTACAATATATTATAAACCACTCCATTACATAGCACAGTGAATGCTGGATATTAACTTATCACTGTTTTACTGGAACCAAAAGATATAGCTTGTATTTATATAGCGTCTTTCACGAGTGGAAGGAAGTCTCAAATATATTTCAGTTGCCCCTTAACATGTTTATTCTAGTTTTGATGATTTCAGGATCCCATTTATTATTATTTTTATTATATATTATATCTTACAACATATATTGTATTGTATAATAATGATGATAATAATAATAATAAATGGGATCCTGGAATCAACAAAACTAGATTAAGTAGGTTTCACCTATAAAATACAAAATTCACACCAAACGCTTTGAGATGCTTCAATGACATAATAAGGCACTATTTCAATGAAAGGCTTATTATTAGCAGTAGTAATAATAATAATAAACAATTGTGAATAAATAATAATGTATTAATAATTATAAACAACGAGAATAAATAATAATAATTGTATTTCATACTCTTTTTGCATTTGATAACAATCCTTACATTAGAGACACTTGTTGGATATAATAATAATCCTTGCATTTGATATAGCGCCTTATCATGTCTTTGAGATGTCTCAAAGAATATACTGTAAAGTGAATTGACTGTATATTTTGTGGGCGAAACGCGGCAGCCAATTGTGCACAACAGTGTTGCACAAACACTTATGGATTTAGTGATCAAATTATTATTATTATTATTTTTAAGGTATTATCTCTAGAAAAGTGATCTGCCAATCGACTAACAACCAGATTCCGACTTACTGATAGGTAAACAAAGGTGTATGGAGTAAGGAAACTTGCCTAACATTTTGCCCTGCCTGGGAATCAAACCCAGGTCTCTGGCTTGTGAGGCGAGTGCTCTAACCAATACACTACAGGATTCCATGTCTATAGGCGCCTGTAAGAGCATTTCACATGTGGAATTATTGCTCAGTGTGTAGTGGAGTGTCCCTGTGCTCACTCACCAGGTAATATTGCTCAGTGTGTAGTGGAGTGTCTGTGCTCACTCACAGATAATATTGCTCAGTGTGTAGTGGAGTGTCCCTGTGCTCACTCACCAGGTAATATTGCTCAGTGTGTAGTGGAGTGTCTGTGCTCACTCGCCAGGTAATATTGCTCAGTGGGTAGTGGAGTGTCTCTGTGCTCACTCACCAGGTAATATTGCTCAGTGTGTAGTGGAGTGTCTGTGCTCACTCACCAGGTAATATTGCTCAGTGGGTAGTGGAGTGTCTCTGTGCTCACTCAGAGATAATATTGCTCAGAGTGTTGTGGAAGTGTGTAGTGGAGTGTCTCTGTGCTCACTCACCAGGTAATATTGCTCAGTGTGTAGTGGAGTGTCTCTGTGCTCACTCACCAGGTAATATTGCTCAGTGTGTAGTGGAAGTGTGTAGTGGAGTGTCTGTGCTCACTCACCAGGTAATATTGCTCAGTGTGTAGTGGAGTGTCTCTGTGCTCACTCACCAGGTAATATTGCTCAGTGTGTAGTGGAAGTGTGTAGTGGAGTGTCTCTGTGCTCACTCACCAGGTAAATGGAAATCATTAACCTTTCCGAACTCCAGCTTCGAGTTTTGCAGCATCAAGCAGAAATAGCTTCCAGTATCCCTCTTGGCAAATTTTTTAATTTTGAGATGTGTAACTGTAGCTTCGAAATTTGCATCCACAGAGGGTGAAACTCTCCCTAAGGGTGAAACATAGAGCAGAAACTCCGGGTTCTTTCCTTTGCTGTGTCTGAACCAGTAAATGCGATCGTCGGCTCTCAGGCTACAAGGCACAGACACACTTGTCCCTTCCTGGACTTGTTGGGTGTTTTGGTAAGTTGCTGAAATAAGGGCAAAAAAAGAGACAGAGAGAGAGAGAGAGAGAGAAATTACCTTTTAAACCCAGAGCATAAAGTTTCTTTCAAGTTTTAAGGTTTAAAGTTTAGTCATTCTAACATATGCATATACATATACAGTTAAACCTCAGCTGTAGCACCACTCTCAACTCCAACTCAACAACAACAACAACAACAGCTCCACTCAAAGGACCAGAATATTTACAGCGAATTAAATTGATCGTATTGATCAGCCACATACGTGTGCAATTGCATAGTGTGGATCTAATGTATCGTGCAAACACAGTTGTTGCATGTTATGCAACATATTTGCTGTTGTTAAAATACTTCCCCCACCCCCGGGGGAGTTGGGGTGGAGGGAGGGAGGTGATGGTTCAGGATTTGCACCTATATATTGATCCATTGATTAATTGATCGATTAATTCTATCGTCTCAGGCGAGAGAGAGAAAAAAAAAAGCACAAGTTTGCAAAGCAGTGTGTTACCCCAGGGGAGAGCCATCAGCGACAGGAATCCGAGGACAAGTCTCGCCATCTGACAGTGAGAGCGATAAGCCCAGGATCCGAACTGCGCAAACTTAAGCGTAACTTGTGAGTGTGTTCACCTTCTGCAGCAACTGCTGCCCAACAGCATCAGCTCAGGACGTGAGGTCACAGGGAGACTCACCAGAGGCTGTGAGCTCCAGAGTTTTATATTGCACGACCAATATTTACTACTTATTCTATTCCATCTCTCCACAAAACAGGGGATTCTGTTTGACTTCCCAGAATGTGTGAGGAGAGAAAGAGAGAGAGAGAGAGAGAAGAGGAGGGAGTGTGAGTTGGTGAGAAATAATGTTCACTGAAGAGTTCCAACAGAAAGATTGTGATGGTGTGGATGGAATGAACCTCTGTTTTGGTATTTAATAACAAAAGATTAACAAAACGCCAGTGCAGAAAATGACTTAGAACACACAAAGCAATTGGTGGATACCCAAAAGCAGGCTTGAAACAAATAAAATCTCATCTCAGTTATTTCTATCTATTATTAATAATAATAAACACTGGGAATAAATAATAAAAACAATTGCAATTGCTAATTTATCAAATTTGATAATATATATACAACCTGGGAGAATTGTACGCAGTCTAAAATACTACAGCCCTGAACAGATAAACTAGTTTTATTCTTGTATGATAAGGTGAGTCCACCTCATTTCTACTCGGGCTAGATTTACACTATTTACACTATTTACCCTCATACATGCATTCATAACATCGAGGCTTGACTATGCAAACTCATTGCTTGTCGGCCTCTCCAACTCCTCCCTCCATAGGCTGTAGATCATCCAGAACTCTGCAGCCCATGTCCTCTCCTGCCCCACAATCCGTGACCCTATCACCCCCATCCTCGCCCGACTCCACTGGCTTCCCATCACTTAGACAATACAGTTCAAGATCCTGGTCCTCATCTTCAAAACCCTCCTTGCTCCCCACTACCTCTGTGACCTCCTAACACCCTACCATCCTGCTCACTCAACTCCGCTCAGTGTGCTCCAGCCTGCTTCACGTCCCCCGCCTCACCCACCCCACCATTGGCCGGTGGACCTTCTGCCACTCTGCCCCCACCCTCTGGAACTCCATCCCACAGTCCCTCTGCCTCGCCCCCTCCTTTGCCTCCTTCAAGACCCATCTCAAGATCCTCCTTCTTCGACCGTGCTTTCGATCTCCCTGCTTTCCCCCCTGTCCTCCACCCTCCCCAATCCCAACCCCCAGCTTGGGTCCGAAACACTGACTGTCCAATGCCTTGGAACTGTCCTCCCAACATGAAAGATGCTTTCCAAATGTAATTTTGTTGTTATTATTGTTGTTTAACAACAAGAAATTTTAATTAGATTTAGATTGCCTTCACAAGCGAGAGGACCTGGGTTCAATTCCCGGGCTGGGCGAAACATTAGGCATATTTCCTTACTCCACATGCCTCTGTTTACCTAGCAGTAGGTAGGAACCTGGTTGCTGGTTGATTGGCGGATCATTTTTCTGCTGTGGGCAATTGGCTGCCATGTTTCTCCTACAAAATATACAGTCAATTCACTTTACAGTATATTCTGTGAAGCGCTTTGAGACATCTTGAAGACTTGATAAAGCGCTATATCAAATGCAAGGATTATTATTATTTATTATAATGTAGTGTTTCTAGATTTGTTACTAGGACAAATCTAAACCCAGGTGGAATTTCAACCCCTTTTATGCCCCCACCCTCTGGAACTCCATCCAGGAGCCCCTCCACCTCAGCCCCTTCCTTGCCTTCTTCAAGCCTGTCTGAAGACCTTCCTCTTCAACTGTGCCTTTGTTCATCCTCCTACCCTGCATTCCCCTACCCTGCACCTCTCTTGATTCCAACCCACAGCTTGGATGCAAACCCTTCACTGTCCAAAACCTTGGGACATCCTCCCGACCTGAAAGGCTCTGTATAAATGCAATTTGTTGTTGTTGAGTGCATCAGTAACCGTGTGTCTGGGGCTTTGGAACAATTTGCATTCAGATAGCTACCTGGTACGTTCTCATGTAGAATCTGACTGAGGAAGTAAAACCACAAACCCTTCCATTCGGCGTGTGCTCTTTCAGCGCCTTGGGACATCCTCCTGACGTGAAAGGCGCTTTCCAAATGTAATGTTGTTCTGGTTGCAAGACCACATTGTTATTGCTGCTGAGCGCATACAGGGGCTACACTATTCAGTAAAAAAAATATAGATTTTTAAAACAAAGTTATCGCAAGACAAAAGCCAGCACGTGTAAACCATCGTTCTAACATTACGGTCATGGAAACGACAAATATGGTGATAAGTCTTGGTTAAAGCAATAGGAAATCCGCATTGGTATGGAGTAAATGGTTGTATGAAATCACTAACATTCTCTTTGTTGAGAACACGTTGTGGACAAGCCTGTGCCTTTTTATGCAATGTATGACAATGAGGTCTTGCCAATTAAGGCAGATTTTAACTGGGGGGAGAGAGAGACACACACAGAGAAGAGGGATAAACCACAATCTGTTACAATTTTTTTTGCAGTGTTTTGCTGGGACCTCTTCTGCACACCGTGTAGCAAAACACAATTTGCAGCATTTTGCTTTCTATATATCATTTTTTTTAATGACACACCGATCTTTGGCTCTCTGCCCCTATAATGTGATTTCACATCGTTTTCTAATTGGGAAGTATATGGATTTACATTGAGATGAACTTTATCATATTTGACGAATTATAATAATCCTTGCATTAGATATAGCATCTTATCACATCATTAAAACGTCTCAAAGCGCTTCACAAAATATAATGTAATGTGAATTGACTGTATTTTGTGGGCAAAGTGTGGCAGCCAACTGTTCCCTCGAACAGTTGTGGATTGAATGACCAAATTTTTTAAAAGGGGATTATCACCCCCATAAAAGGATCCGCCATTTGATTGAAAAACATGTTCCTACGTACTGCTGGGTAAACAGAGGCACGTGGAGTAAGGACACCTGCCTAAGGTTTCGCCCTGGCCAGGAATCAAACCCGGGTCCTCTTGCTTGCAAGGCGAATGAATGCTCTGTAAGTTGATAAGTAAAATAAATTCGAGCCTCCTTGCGCAATAGGTGAGCCAGCCTCAACATTTAAAAGTGTAATAATGAACAAAACAGGACCTTGTTTTGACACCAGCCGTGCTTAAGACTCTGTGGAATCAGTATGGGATTATTATTCAGCACATCATCAGTTCTTTTGAAGTACAGTATTTCAGTTGGCCATTAAAGATCCCATGGCACTATTCAAAACAAGAAGATTTTTGTTCACGTTGTTCTGGCCAAGAATCCCCCCAGACAAAATTGGGAATTAATTTTTTGCTGTTTATGGGACACCGCTGTGCGCAAACTGGCTGCCACGTTTCATTCACATAAAACACGGGAAATCACTTTATCAGTATTTCCTGTGAAGTGCTTTGACATGATATCTCGAAGATGTGATAAGGCGCTATATCAAATGCAAAGATTATTATTATGATGAGAAGTACGGTTGCGAAAGACATAAATTGACTCCAGTCTTTATTTGGTTAGCTGTGAAGCACAGACCGTTGTACATTTATGAATTTAATACAGTACTATTTACATTTATGTAGCACCTTTCACATCAGGAAGATGTTGCTGGGGATGGGAGCTGAGGGGCGATGGAGGAGGGTGGTTGGGTGAGGGGGTGCGGTTGGGTGGTGGGGGGCGCGGGAGAGCGGAAAGATGGCACACTGACTCTCAAATGGATAGTTTTGACCTAAATTGGCCCTGTAATGATACAGCACTGATACAATACACTTTTATGTTACAGTACTGCTTACATTACATTTTATTTAATGATGTCACCAAGGGGGAGTCATGTAGAGGATGAAGAGGAGGGGACCGAGGACAGAGCCCTGAGGAAAGAAATGAAAATGAAACAATAAAGTGTTTAGAAGACAATGAAACTTTTAAAAACAATATTCTCAGATCAAGCAAAACCCATTCAGTCTAGTATTTATATTAGTTCTTGAACTACTGTGCAAATGATTTTTTACTTGTATATGAAGTCCTGTAGTGTATTGGTTAGAGCGCTCGCCTCACAAGCAAGAGGACCTGGGTTTGATTCCCAGGTAAGGAAAAACTTTCGGCAAGTTTCCTTACGCTACACGCCTGTTTACCTATCATAAGTGGGAACCCAGTTGTTAGGTGATTGGCAGATTGCTTACCAGGGGTAATAATTCTTTTTAAAAAATCACCCAATCCACGACTGTCCGTGGGACACTGTGGTGGCTGCCCACAAAATATATAGTAAATTCACTTTACAGTAGATTCTGTGAAGAACTTTGAAACGACTGAATGATGTGATGCAAAGAATGTCAATTCAAAGAATATTTGTATTATTATTAAATGTCCAGGAACTTGGAGCTCATGGTCTAGGCTAACACTCCAGTGCAGTGCTGGTGGACAGCACATTGCCAGTGGTGCCACCTTCAGGTGAAATGTTAAAGTGAGGCCTTCTCTGTTTCTTCAGATGGATGTTCAAGAACTCATGACACTATTTGAAAAGAGAAAGGTGTTTCTATCAGTGTTCTGACCAGCAATCCTCCCAATAAATTGGTCTGCCACTCCTTATGGGTCACTGCTGTGTGTAAATTGGTTGCTAAGCTGACCTATAAATACACATTCACTATGTTACAGAAATTTCTGTGAAGCATTTTGAGACATCTTGACTAGGTAATGCACTTTATCAAATGTAAATCAAATTTTTATTTTAATTCTGTCCAGAAAGGATATTTCTACTGTAGGAAAGTTTACTTTTCTTAATGATGAAATAGTGTGTGTGCAATTTGGATGTTAAACAATTGTTTGTTTGCTGCCGTGGAAGAAGATCTCCCCGCAATCCCTCTTCATTGCCCTGGAGTCCTCTAATCTCCTTCCCCTCTGGCCCACCTCTCGCAACAACCCACTCACTGCATCCACTCTTCTCCACAGCACCCACTCCACCACACTCGCCATCCTTGCCCCCCTCACCTCCTGAATTGCCTCCTATTCTTGATCCTCACCCTGGTTCACCAGCCACCTCCGCTTGCTTAAGGTGTGGGCTGCCGAATACACTTGGCTCAAATCTGGCCTAA